AGATTAGTTGAACAACTGAGTGTAGATGGAGTTAAAATATATTTGGGACACTGACTATGGGCAAACTGTAATGTTTCTATAGCTCCAGTATTTCACATTCACCACTAGCTATTTAAGCAGCCTCTCCTCCCACCATTTATTACTATTTAAATTGATTATTTAGGTGCAAACCAGTTTCCATTCAATGGCTTGTATGCAGTGTTTCAGCACTCAAGCAAGTTCTTAAACTAGAGCTAGAAATGATTACCTGGCATAACCAATGATGAGGCTGCCAAAGACGGTTCCAATACCAGCACCAGAACCAGCCACTCCTACTGTGGCAGCACCTGCACCAATAAATTTGGCAGCAGTATCAATGTCTCTGCTGATTGCACTGGTTTGAAACTCCCTTCGGATTAGTGGAGACACGCCAGTCTGGGCCCCATTAAACACTGCTGAGCCCTAGTGAAACAAAAGGCAAAGGTCAGATTAGTAATTACAGGTAGCTACTTATTACTGAACAGTCAGAACAACGAGGCTATAAAAACGTTATGTCACAGGTGCATTCTCTACAGATATTTTGGATAAAAGGGGACAAAAGGACTGCCCTCAAGTAATTCTTTAATGAGTTATTCTAATCCTCCCCTTTAATGGAAGCCCAAAAAGACTTAAAAGTGAAACAAAACACCCAAAAGACCCATTTGGTAATGTTGTCTAATTTCTCTTATGACTACTATTACCTCTCCAGTTCTAGCTTCTGGTCGATATAACACTGATGCAGAAATTGGTCTGTATGCAACTCTGGATCCAGCTCGGATCTATTAAGGAGGGGGAAAAAAAAAAGGAAAATTTCAATTATTTAGAAAACAGCCTTCTAGGATTCTCTTCTGCACCTTGAGTTCTAAGAAGGCAAGCATGAAAAAGGAACCAGAAAAGGTGTGATGCCTAAATTCATAGTTTTTCTGTATTGACTCATCTGGGCTGTTTGGTCATTTTCAACGCAGGAAACAATGTACAACGATGTTGGCAATGAAGCTTTAATGGCTATACAATCTATTTGCAACATTCTGAACAAAAAACTTGAAGAATTCGCTTAAAAGAGCACATTACTGCTTTAAAAAATTTTGATTAATACCCCAACACAATCTAGCTCAATAAACAATAAACGTGCCACATTTTTGGTCACTTGGATGGATCAACAAGTATGTTAGGATTGTCACTCTAAACGCCCACCATTTAAATAGCCCATCAGTTAACACGAGCTCCCACCATCTTCAAGATGTCCCTACATACCCCGGACATCAAAACCGTTTGAGTAAATCTACAGCAGGTAAGAATAATCGGTGAACTACTCTGACGTAAGGGCAACTGCTGCCCAGCTTCTCTGTCCTTGAGTGGCCGCTAAGTTAAGGTCACAGAAAGTCCCTTCGGAACCAGGTCCTGACTCTCCTGAGGCAACCCATTCCAGATCTTCACTTAGCCTAGTCTCCCAAATGGTTATGGAAATAAGATCTCAAAGGCAGAAAAAGGACTTTCTCGGTTCCCGCACCCGCTTCCTCCGCCCACACAGGGTGAAAGGCAAAGTCCCTCCCTCTGCAGCAGCGAGTTTGACCTACAGGCCGACAGCAGGGGGGTTGCGGCGCTGTACTGAGCCTCAGCAGCCTCTTACACCCTCCACTGCACCCCAACCTCCGCGTCGACCCCGACACGACACAATTACCTGGGAAGGTCTGGAGGGGCAAGGAAGATTTGACCTACACGGCAGGGGCCTGACAGCTAGGCCTTGGCGACTGTCCACCGCCCTGGTGGTGGGGAGGGGCGAGCGATGGCTCGGGAACCAAAGCCCGGGAAGAGAAGGGCAATGGGGGTGAAGGGGCGCGGGGAAAGCTGTTCCCGGGAGAGCGGAATGCTCTGCCAGGAGGTTGCCCCATTCCACAACGTGGACGCTTCTGGGCCCAGAGGCCCAGCCCGCGGCTTCCCCCGAACCCTCCCCCAACCCATGCCGGCGGGGGCCACGTACCAGAGCGGGGGTGCAGGCGAGCTTGGCGCAGGCGAACATCTTCGAGTCTTGAGGGAGGCGCGGCTGGAGGGCTCGGGTGACAGGCGGCGTGGGCTCCCCTCCCGCTTCCTTGCTGCGGAGGTAAAGAGGCTTAAGGTCAAGTGCCCTCCAGGGGCCTGTCCTTCCCACCTGGGACCCGCGTGCTCGCGTGCACGCCGGAAGACTGGGCCCTGCGCCCAGCGAGGTGCCAGCAGAATGAATGGGTCCCCACTGGGCGCTGCTCCGCTCGCAGCGGGCCTGGCTCTCGCGCCCTCGGCTTACCTTTCCCGGCGGCGGCACCGGCGGCAGAGGTCGAAGAGTGGGGCTGGGCGCGCAGGCGCGGTCCCGCTCTTATGCTCGCCGCAGCACCCGGATGCAGAAGGCGGGGAATCGGGCGCAGACGACCGGAAGACGCTCAAGGTCATTTTGAAGCAACTTTATTGGTACCGGTAGGGGAGCACAGCGACAGCCACCTGCTAGCAAGCTGGCGGGCGGGAGCTGAGAAAAAGACGTTGAAGACAACTAGCCCTGGTGGGAAGGACTGGACTCTACTTTTCTCTTAGCTGGCCGGAGGGTAGTGGGCTTTGGGGAGACCATTTTAATTTTTTTTGGTGTGAAATTTGCCCTTTTTTTTCATTGGGTTACTCGTTATGCTGCTGACCACAAGGTCGGCGGTTCGAACCCACCAACCTGTCCCTTTCGCTGGAGAAAGATGAAGCTTTCTGCTTCCCGTAGAGACTTACAACCTTGGAAACCCAATGGGGCAGTTCTACTCCGTCTTATGAGGGCCCTTTGAATTGGAATTGACTCGATGGCAGCGGCAGCGAGTTTGGGTTTTAGTTTGGATAATTCTTTCTGATGACAATGCATTTCTCCTTAGTGAAAGAGAAAGGTGTCTACGGGGACAGGAATCAGGTATCAAAAGATACAAAACAAACAATTATATCGATGGGAAAGAGGGGGCTTGGAGTGCAGACCCAAAGCCCATCTGTAGACAACTGAATATCCCCCCACTGAAGGGTACAAGGAAGGGAAGATTCCATTGGTGCAGTATAGCACTGAGGAAACACATCATTCCTCTAGTTCCTGAATTCTTCCTCCCTGCCCCAGTAGCATGACCCAGTTCTACCTTACAAATCCCACTATTGGTACACATAAGAGCTTTCAACACGTGGAATTCAGGACAGATAAAAACCTCAGGTACAGTAGTGGGAGTAACAATATCATGAGGGTAGGGGGTGGTGGGGACGCGGAGTGGGGGAAAGGTAAGAAAGGGGGAACCTATCATAAGGTTGGATATATAACCTATGCTGCAGTGGGATGAATAACAAATGTGGGTGAAGGGAGACAACAGACAGTGTGAGACACAAAATCACAACAATAATATATCATTGATCAAGGATTCACAAGGGGGGGGAGAGGATCTGAGATACCAAGGGCTCAAGTAAAAAGGAAATGTTTGGAAATGTTGATGGCAACCTATGTACATGCGGGCTTCATACCATTGAATGATGGGTTGTTATAAGATTTGTAAGAGCCCCCCAATAAAGTGATAAAAAAGCACTGCTATAGAAATCTTTATTGAACAAAAATACTAAACTGTGGAGCTGTTGTTTGTTTGGATGCCCTCTAGCAATGACTGGACACATCATATGGTGTGGTGTTTCCCGTCCTCTGATTTTAGCTGAAGAATTCTGCATCCTCTGATTTACACCACAGCAAACGGCAGCTTGAGCATCCCCAAGCGACTCCAATTGTGTTTGGGGCAGAAAAAGAAGCCTGACAGGGGAGATTAGTGCTGCATGGTAGGTTGAATAAGATCCCCCCACCCCACCCCCAAATTCTCTTAGGCCAGCCCTTGCTACCGTAACAAAATGAGCATCCTTAGACACAAGCCTTTTCCCCACCAATACAGTTTTCCATTTTCCAATAACTTCTTTATAGCAGGCTCCCTGTGGTTGGCCTTCAAGAAAAACAATCAGAATTGCACCTTTGGACTCTCAAAAAGCAGTTGCCACCACCTTCTGAGTTGACCTCTCTGCCTTGAGTTTAACAGGCCATTGTTAACCTCCTGTATCAGTCTGGGTGCTTTAGAGAAACAGATCCACAGAAACTCATGTATAAGTGAGAGTTTCATATAAAGGGTAAGTGCGCATCAAGAAAACATCCTAGCCCAGTGCTTCCCAAGCCCACAAGTCCAACATTAACCCCTATGTCCAACACCAATCCATAAAGTCCTCCTGCATCTCACAAAACAGATGCCATGATGCCGACTGCAGGAGGAAAAGCCAAATCAATGAGTGTGTAAGCATCTCAGCACTGGCAGGCACCTCCACATGGGGTAGGTCCATATGGCTTCTACTGAGGGATGTCTTGCCGGAATTGAGCCTTGCCAGTGGAAGCAGGGAACTGGCTAAGGCAGCTGCCCTCTTGTCTGACCATCAGAAATGAAGAGACCACCCCCAACCCCCCCCAAAAAGAAAGCAAGAGACCCCAGAGCTAGAAAGGCAAGGCTTAGGGGGCCATTTATCCCCCTACCTTTCAATTAACCCCACATGTGTTTATCGGCCAAGTTGGCACAATAAACTACCTCGCCTCCTTTTTAAAAAATTAATCACTGTATTTTTAATTATATAAAGTAAAAATAAACAGAATGACAAGGAAAATCCATTGCAATGGAGAGTTCAACTTATGTTTCTCAGAACTGAAAAAGAAAACAACAAAGACTTACTGAAAAATCGAACAGTAAAAAAATAACAATCAAACAAACAAACAAAAAGAAAAATCGACAGTGTGAAAAGCCTAATCTGACTTTTATGCAACAGGAAATGTGCGTTCTTCTCTAATTGCTAGACCTTTGTGGTGACTGACTTTGCGCTACTTGTAAAGAAAATCTCAGTACATTTGTGGTATTAGTTTTGAGCCATGTTCTCTGACTATAATTAATTTAGTAATAATAAAAACAGTTTGGAAATTAGAAAACCTGTGTCTAAATAACTAATAGGTCAAGTAAGAAATCATAATAAGAATTAGAAATGAACTCAAACTAAACATTCATGAAAATACAAAACATTCCCTAGTTACAGGCTGTAGCTAAAATGGCACTTGGAGAGCCCTGGTGGCATAGTGAGCTATGAACCACAAGATCAGCGGTTCAAACTCACCAGCCCTCTGTAGGGCCAAGATGAGACTATCTGCTCTCCTACAGATTTAAAGTCCCCCAAACCCCAAAGGGGTAGTTCTACTCTGTCCTATATGGTCACTAGGAGTCAGAATTGCCTCTGATTGGACCTTTTTTGAAGGCACTGTAACAAGACTAAGCAAAGTATATTACTGAGAGAATGTGTCAGCAGCCATCCACTGATCACACAGACTTTTCAATGTATTTTGTTTGTAATAAACCTGTGCGTGTATGAGGTGGAACTCTAGTAGCACTACTTTTTGATTGGCCCTCGTAGATCCTGTAAGGGGAACATTATTCCAAGTGGATTTACATGCTGAGAGGGTTTGATGGAAGCTCTCATCTTCTCACTAAACCAGAAGCAGTAACTGTGGAAGAGGAAGCAGGGGAGAAGCCGGGCTTTGAACAGACCTACTTCCAGGTTCATATATTGGGTTGGTTATTGCTTGTGGCAAGAGAAGTGCAGCCTATACTGGTGCCCTGCACTGATATGTCAGTAAGCAGATGAACTGGCTTAGGAGAGGAGAGAACACCTACCTTGTGAGTTTTACCTGTTAAGGTTCTAAATGTTTATGGAAGAATGTCAAGGGTTCAAAGACTGAGTATTTGATCTTTGAAAACTGTGTGTGTGTATGCACGTGCATGTGTGTGTGTGAGAAGGGGACAAAGAGAAAGAGCCCAACAATTACTTGTTAGATGAAGAACAAGAAAGCACATGTCAAGTCACACAGGCTGGCTGGAGGCTAGTGACTGGGCCTGGGGATCGGAAGCCCAGCCCTGGACTAGTCTGCTGAGAAACTGATCGTGGCCCTACTTCCAGAATACTATGCTAGCTCAGACTTCGCTTGATTTTTAATCCTAAAACCTTCATTGATAGGAAGGAGGGGATGCATTTTGAAGGAGGTACAGTAGAAACCCGGACCTCGATGCTAATCCGTTCTAGGAGTGTCAAGATGCAATGCAGTTGAGTTCCGAATCAATTTTTTCCCATAAGACATAACTGAAAACAGTTTAATCCATTCTCAATTACCAAGTTTTTAATCCTAACCTTGCCTTTTTATACAAAACATTACGCAGACATTTCAGTGTAAATAAGTTCAGAGTGAAATAATATAATTTAAATAAGAAGCACATGGCCCATACCTTGAGATTTAATGAGGATCTGGATCTGTGGACAGGGATGTGGAGAGGAGGATGGAGAGTCATTGTTTGGGAGGGGAATCCCCTCTCCTAAAATCAACTGGTAGCTACTTTCCAGGAGGTGTTTTCCC